TAATCCCTTTTTTGATTTTGTAGAATTTTTTTTTCGCTAATTCAGTTTGGAATATAGTAATGATGTTGGTAAAGGGATGGCGCGGCATGACTTTTGTGACCACTGAGCTCAAACAACCAATGGTAAAGTGGTCTTATGGTGGGCTATCGTCATGAGCAAACACGCGTTTCGACTAATGCTGTAAGCAATGAGTATTGAGGAAACATTTATTTTTAACGTCAAAGCGCTTCAAAAGATACGACTCGAGGTGATTGAAATATATTTTGAGCGTCTCCTTTTGAAATATCCATCTTTTTTTTCATGCGTTGACAACAAACCGTCATCAGTGAAGTACCGTATTAAACTCTGGGGGGGGCACGGAAGTTCGTCCTCCAGGTTCTAACCATTTGAAATGTTGACACGCACACAGGCTATGTACAAGTCACGGTTAAGTTGTTTCGGGAATTTCACCAATGTTATAAGGGCACTGGCAATCCATCACTCGCAGGAGAACTACTGGGTTAGCCTGTGGTATCCCAGAGAATTCGAACGATGTGTGAAATTCAAGTCCTGTATAAAGCAAGGCTTTGGACTCAAAAACTTTTTTCCCCCCAAATCTTCGGATTTGATAAATGCATGGCTCCAATCTGTTATGGCATTACCTCACTCTCAATAACGTTTTGGTAAATTGTTCAAGAAGAAAACTGGCTTGCTCATACAATCAATCCAAAGACAATTACATTTTTTAAAGTAGTCTTACAGATAAAACTTTTTAGTTGTGAGTCTTCCTCCATTCATTTCTGAGGGTCTGCCTATATCCTTGCGTTGTCGTGAATATTCATATAAATCAGCAGAATTGTGACGTCACATAAGGCAAAAACCTCATCGTTAAAGCTGTTTATTAAAGCCACTGCCAGAACTGTGTTATGTCTTATAAAACATTCTTTCTTTAGTTGAAAAACCTATATCGATGCAGCATGTTCTCGTCTGGGCTACATTTTTGGATTTCTGTGTAACAGAAATGTCTATAATGTCATGACATTTGGTGTATGCTGAAATGACGCCTCAGCAAAGTAACATGAGAAATAAAAGGTTGTAAACTGCACCCGAAGAAGGATTAATTTCAAACCCACAACGAGGACCCGTTATTTTCACGCACTCGAAAATGACTTCTGGGATGACTTCGCACCTCATCAGTGGATCCAACGCCAGTTACCGTGCACGTACGCATTATTAACATTTTATTAGCTCACACTACCTCGGTTCAAATTAAAATCAGCCATATGCAGTGACGCCCTGGTTAAAATTTCATTTTCTTTTGCAAAACCGTGACGGCTTCTTATTACAGGCTACAATGCAGAATTAAAACTGTACACAAGTAACAAAAGTACTGGCGAGATTTCGTGCTTGTTTGCTAAAATAATGTCTTTGAGATTTTACCTGGTGCAGGGAAAACTACGAAAGCCCGTTGGTGCCATTGCCAACGGGCTTCCGGAAAAAAACTCAACTTTACACAACAATAATTTTAATGTATGTATTTAGGCTTGTAATCTGTACAGAACGTTTCCAAACTGACTGTTAAGTATATGACAAGGTGACGCAACAGCAACACCCCAAGTTGTCGGGGAAAAACATGCAAAAACTACACTTCAAAGAAGTTTAAACTCTATACTGTACATTATACGTTAACTTGTGACTCCGCATAGGCGTACTTCAACGGCGTGGGTATTGGAACATAATTTGACATGTGGTAAAATTCATTCCATGCCTCACTTGAAACATCACTCCTCAGTTTAACTGAAGTATCTTTGATTTAGAGGATGCGTTTTCCATTTTTATAAGCTTACATCTGCGACAAAATAGGACGCATCTTAACAGCACCTAAGTCCCTTTGTCAAGTGTAACAACACAATGTATACTCTAATCATAAGGATGAATGACAGAATTGTTCCATACATTTGTATGGACGGCATTCACTGCATCACAGTAGGAACAAGTCAAATAGGTACCAGTAACCAGTACTGTATGGTTCCTACAACATATCAAGAACCAACGAAGGAGCGAGGAGATATAAATTGACAGAAGTGGCCAAGGCCTAACTACGGAAGCCCAATCGTGCCAGATTTTTAAAGTACGTGTACTTTTGTATTGCGAAATAACGCAATAGTTTTGTGAAATGACGCAAACGTTTTGCGAAAAAACCCAAAAAATTGTGACCCGCTCTGTGAAAATGAGTCATAAGTCCCCGGAGCCACGTTTTGAGCTTTCATTTGTATTGAAAACAGTAAATTAAGCTTTTTGTTTTGATGTATCACCCAGTTTTGCATCCTGATGAAAGTGGATACTCCATGGTGCAAAATAATGTGGGTTCCTATTTATTTACACTGTGCAAAATTATTCAAAAGGACTTTTTACTCCATAGTGGCTCTGCCGACTTGTGACTCATTTTCACAGAGTGGGTCAGAAATACGCATACACGAAGAAAGCGCCCTCTATAATTATTAGCCGTCCAAAACCGAGAGCAGCAAGGCAACATCTGATCTTGAAATGGTGAATCCTGCCAATAAGCACTTTTGATGCATTCATCGGTATCCATTTTGAAATCCAGACTCTTGTGTTTGCTCCAGTAAAAAAAAGAGCAACATCGACTATAGACGACTTATGTCTTCTTCTAAATAGCCCATATTGCAACGAACGTCGCTATAGTGTTCTTAAACTTACAATAACACCGTGATTCACAGCTAAAAACCATAAAAAGTCAGAATACCGTATATCAAGAGAGAAGTAAAAGCTTACAAGGGCTTTAAACCTCATGTTCCTCCAGATGACTACCCATGTAGGCCTACACAATCAACGAAAAAACAGTAGTAACGACAAGCTAATCGGCGTTATCTCGAGATAGTACTGCGTTACCTCGCAAAACTATTGTGTTATTTTGCAATAAAAAATATATGTACCTTAAAAACCCGGCACGATCGGGCTTCCGTACCTAACATCACGTCATTTAATGAAGAGATAAGGTAAGGCTATTCATATGTCATTTGCCGACTTGTGTTTCCTCATACAAAAACACACAGCAGTCAATCAGCCTTGAGCAGAAGCACCCCCTCATCGCTTGAAAATGGATGGTGGGGAATGTTCGTTTTGCTGGTAGCGATGCGACTGTAACGCGTACATTTCATACTCGTTCGTGAACCAGCGAAGTGGACTTCCCACCAAAGGAGCCGCCGCTGCTGAGAAAATTGCACCCTCTCTTGACCCAGCTCGGCGATCATAGAATGGAAAACCTAAACTCTTCGGATTGGCTATTTGTCCTGTGCAATATTCTTTCCTGACCCTTGGAGACTGAGACAACATTCAGGGAAGAGCAAACAAACAAAGAGAGCCGTTGATGCTGGTCTCGATTTCTTTGATTTTGAAGAACGCTTTCTCCACAACGCCAGCAGCAAATTAGATCTGTGCCAGATAGAAGAAACAAGACCCATCTAATCGGCACTTTACATTTACTCAATGAAGGGACTCGTTAAATCCTACAATCACATTCATCTACCTGAAAAGAATCCATCTCCTCAGTGGAACTGAAAGTGCAGCAGCATTTACACGGGCCTTATCAACCTATACGCTCGCGCTCCTGTATGTTCAAGTATTAAGTGACATCTGAATTATAAAAAGCACGGTGCATCGTGTAATGGTGATCAGACGGGAGAGATTGCCGGAATGAGAGATTTCCCGATCAGGGCGTTCGGACAGCCGACTTAAAATAATTGCTCGACTCGCTGATAATTCGATGCTTTGGGAGCACTATCCCTCGCGAGCCAAGTAATCGTACCCGGCCTTGCTTAAAGCAGCGGTCATCATTCACCGACTCGACCTGGCCCGAACTAGAAGGAGAAACGAGAAAGAGAAGTAGGCTAAGAAAATGACAACACGCCATGATTAGATTTGGCGTGATGGGACGGCTTGAAGACGACACAGGAGACCTTCCCTGGAGTCGTACTGAATGATCTACTGGGTTAATGCCGTTGACTGGTTCATTTTATAAAGTTCTTTGTTGACCAGCCCGTTTGGTTCAATTATTTTCAGTCAGTACGAGCCAAACGCACGTTGTGAGCCTTGTTGTTTCTCCTTAGCCAAAGGTGTAGCCAATGCCTACGTCCAAAGGGATTCTAATGATAACAGTTTTCTTCAAATGGTAAAGAGGTCAACAGTCTTTGTCTGCTTCTGCTCCCGTTTCATTTCATAAATTCTCTGATCTAACGCACGGCTATTAGGGGTTTCCGAAGATGGTGGCAGGTTCTCGGGTCGACTTGACGGATTATCAATTCTGCACAGCTCTACGATGACGGAACTAATTTGAGTAAAATGTCCTCCTTAAAGACCCGCGTAGTGTAGTGTATATACCTAAGCGTCTAATTGCACACCATAGAGCTGGGCTCAAATTAAAAGGTGTTACACGCTATTAATACCACCAAGTTGCTAGACCGAGTTACCCCTATCTGTGCACACCTCATAATACAAATTACAAACTCTATACTCTGTTTTAAATCGGCCTTGGTATGGTGCCCAGAAATTTCATGTTGTCAGCTAAGAGAGGGTTTGCGGGTACACCATGTACCAGTCTAGCCTCTGCCATGAAAATTCCAAATCTTACAAGCATGTTACAGATGTTCTTTTTCTCCAAATAACAGGCTGTCGGATTGGTTTTGATGATATTTATCATTGCAACACCTAAACTTGGGTACTTCGGCGTTTTGTTTCTCCTTTTTATTCATATCTCTTGACAAGTAGAGTCATGTTTCAAACAATTTTACATTTTTACATCAGTCATAGAACTCACTTTTGTCGAAGTATTTTCAATGAATTCACAGTGGAGCGCCAAAACAGGCCGCCTCCGAACTTTGCGGGCTTTCTGGCGGAAAACCAAAACGCAAATCACATTTTTCCACTTTGCCCTATACAGAATAAACCACCATAAACCTCATTTACGAGAAGGCATTTTTAATCGTGTATGCTACACCCACCTTAGAGAGTGGCACATTCAGCTATACTCGTTAGCTCGTCAACGGAACAGTCGTCAGGCTGGTCATCCTTGAGATGGTTTCCCGCGTGGACAACCAATCTCGTTGAGATGAAACCATTTCCACTCGTCACTGCTGACTCAGTGACATCGAGCGAATGTAAGCGAGCGAGAGCGTGTCTCCGAAGGGGAGGAAAGGGGTGAAATACCAACGGACCGTGAACGTAAGGTGCGGAATCACGATCTATCGAATTTTAAAGATGATGTGGGTGGATGCTGTCAGCATCTCTAGGGTCAAACTTATTCTCCCTTTTTACAAATTCTTTGTGTTTGTTGAGGCTGCGTTTCTCTAAAAGTCGCTTCTTCTGGTGGAAGTCGTGTAGATCAGGCAGGCACACTACCATCTGAAGTCAAAATCGTCCGCTGATTAGCACTTTCTAATGATCTCCAAACAAAGTGGTCAAGTGATTAATTTTTTTGTAAAGAAGTAACCAGTGCCAGCAACTGCAGAAAATTCCCTAAAAATGCCTCCAATTTAAGAAACCAAATACGTCCATCAGAGTAATGGCAAAAAAGTCAAGCCCAGTCAAGTATTTAGTTCGTATCAATTCGGGTCACAAATCTGTGAACACACTATACTAATTGAAAACGAGAGAGAAAGTCATCTTCTGACATTTTTAAATCTACTTCCAGGTCACTAAATGTAGTCTTGAAAATAATAATATAAAGACACGAACATTTAAAGCGTTAATGTGAGTCGTTGCAAATTATTTTTTATTCGCAAAGAAGTTTGCTTTTAATTTTGGAACTTGCGTTTAATTACTTTTACTCGAGTTGGGTCCTCTGAACGAGGGACTCGGATCGAGTCATTTGATCGCAGTGACTCAAGTCGAGTCGAGACAGTTACCAGTGTCTATAGGGAAGGCGCGAAATCATATACATGTATGTCGCCTCTACGTCTTAAGTTTGCTGGAGTGGAGTTCGGCCGCCATCATGAATGTTGTTTTTTTGTTAAGAGAAGTGTTTCTATGGCTGAGAAAATAAGGGAAACCGGTCTGTGCAAGCAAGGTTAAAGGAATAATCGGTCGGTTTTACCTTTTTGCTAAGGAGGGGGGGGTATTCCAAGAAGATTGCTGCCGTGAATTAGATTTTTATAGCTGGGAAGGTGTGAGATTTGTTATCAGCATCAACAGGGCCAGTCCCCGCTCTTTTCCTACTGTTTGATTTTATACAGCTTTATGGACGAGCGGTCTGTTTGCTGATGTATTTGAGTACTTTTCTGCGACCAGCATGTAGAGAATTTTAGGCTGATGCATGGAATGGTTGATGTCAGTTTTCATACGTTTGTGCAGAGTGGAGCTTCGTAGAAAATGTGTGTGAATTTTGCTTAATTTTAAAAGTACAATACTTTTTAATAGCAAGAAGGACATCACTGGTCTCATGCAAGGTCACGATAGTGGGTGGGTAACGCTCGTCAACACATAACTCGCCCGCGGGCCCATTAACCCATTAAAGTGATTCCCAGAGAGCGGGAGTTTAGAACTCTGTACTCGGCGACGCAAGGGCTAATTAACTTAATGATTTTAGAGTATACAAATTGTGACTAAAGTTGGACTCGAGTCGAGTCAGTGACTCGAGTCAATACATCACTGGTATTCATGAGTTGGTAAACGACATTTCCCCAAATTCAGTTAACAACTGCAGTTTAAGTTAACTTTGGGCCTATAGGGAGTTGTACGGGCAAAATAATTGTCACGTTTCCATCCAATTTCACCTATTGTGACCTTTAGATTTGGAATAGTCACTTAAACCTCCTCTGATTTCTCCAACAACCATTGCTGTCAAACTTTGCTGTCCTGTTGTCCTGCTGTAAGAACCTCTCTTGAAAAATAGTGCGTGTATACGCATTAAGGAATGCTTCACCCAATTCGTCAGCCAGGCAATTCATTTTGATTTACCTTAGAGGAAGAATTCCAACCGTCATTCAAAAAAGTCTCATGAGGAGGCGTCTCCAAATAGATGGTTTCAGTGCCTGACAAGGTAAAGGCAAACAAACTCGAGGGGCTAGGCATTGATTTGAACAATATTTATCACATTACGCGACCTATAACTGTCGCCTTGTCTGATCAGTCTGCCAATTTTTTATCCAGGGTTGGCCCTTACAGCAGAAGCCCAATTTCCTTTGTTCAGTTTCATTTCAAACAATCCACTTAAGGGTCGAAAACCACCTGCTCTTTCCACTTCCCAACAACTCGCGAGATATCTTCAGAGATTTATCATCGCAATTTCTTGCCTCGCCTGTGTTTGCGCGCTGGCATGCAAATGAGCAAGCACGCATACGCAAAAATGCTGGCTCAGCTTCTGTCGTTTCCTGTCGATGTGTCAAATATGTATCGCAGCAGGAAGTTCCTCCAGGTATTTCATACTTCCGGAATCTCTTTTATCAATGTTGCAGTTTCTCATGACAGTAATTCTCGGAGAAGGTTTCAGGGCGTGTGCGTGCACAGACTCCCTGGCCCCGGATTACGCCTGGACTTTCAAAGTCTTCACACTTGCTTACAAGATCAATCACTTTGGCCGTCTTACAGTATAATAACGCCTGCCAACATGCACAGTCTGTCGTGCCCAAAGGGGAACGCATTAACGATGCATCAAATCTTACCATTACCGTCACTGCCGACTGCCATTAGAACGAGGAGGAAAAAGGCTTAATGACCAAGTGTTCTTTGGGGTCAACATAAAAATGACTACTTCAACAGTCATCTCCTTTGGCATGACGTCGCAAAGTAGTCTTCACAAGAAGTATTTTCTTTGTTATAGTTATACAGATCTATATCAAATTTAAGCTAAGGCCTTTTAATGCAGATGAATTTCAAAATAAAAGCATAGTGATCAAGACCAGCGCTCCCCATTTCCCGCGATTGTTCAGTATTTCAAATTTTACTGAGCTGTTACTGTTCCACTTGATATCAAATCTGTCAGAAAACTAATCAAATAAACCCAAAACATTACAGACCAAACAGAACTAAGCCGCTTCAAACAATTATGTGCGATTTCATTTCTCCATCTTTCACCAAATAAAAAAGAAAAGAAATCCATTTACTAAACATGCTCATGGTTAGCTGACTAGGAGATCTTTTAGAAACACGTTGATCAAGACACAAGGTTTTTAACTACGACATCTACATGTACCATCTAAGTAGTTGAATTACATTTTAGATTTTACATTTTAGGTAAATTTCTTACATTTTAGGTAAACTTTCATATTTTGTGTTGAATTTATCAGGAAATTTGAGGAAATTTGTTGTTTCTATTTCTGTTTTTTTTTATTACAGCATCCAGCAAGTGGATTGGTGTCATGCAAGTCAAGGTATCACCTACCTGTATGTATAGGATACATTAGTGCTTCTGAATGCCGTCCGACAAAAGATCGCATCGCTGACTTATTCACGTCTTGGGTCTGGGGAGGAAACATGGGATTTTTCTCTAAAAACGCCTGTCCAGGTTGATTCTTCCTGTGAAGAATTCTTCCCCCCCCAAAAAAAAAAGATAGCCGTACCATTTCTTAAATGTTTGAGCTTTCAATTCCTTTAAAAAAAGGCTAAATTGATAAGAGGATACAGCCAAAATTTGGAAAACTACTGGTTACGTCAGACAAACGCCCTTTACAAAGACATTGCCAGACTGTGGCAGCTTATCACAGAAATACAACATCCAACTTTCGAATTGTCTTCTGAGGTTTTGACATTAGCAGTTGCAATGTCGTCGACCCCAGGTAACGTTAGGATCTAAACGACTCGGCTGGCACCTCCGGAGCTCCGTTCAAGCAGTCATGAGCGGTGTCGCTTTCAAGACGATCGCACACTGCAAGGACTCCCGATGTACAGAGTGCGCAGCGTACAGCGCATCGACTTTCCCGCGTTATTGAGAAGACCTCTCCTGGATCACCTATCGCTGTCAAGTGCAGATACAACGCCCACTGGCCAGAACATTCAAGGATGGCCAAATCTATCTCTATCAGGTCCGATGATCATTTGGGATTCTGCCGGGGAATTAGATACTAACAACTATCATGTCCGCATTGCGCTTCTCTAAATAATGACCAATTTTGTGTCCACAAGAAAGCACAAGGCGCTTGTGTATACTGATAAATTTGAGACCCCGAAACAACTGAGCTCGATACGGAAAAAACGATGAGAATAAAAAGAAACTTTAAGTACATATTCTAAATATTAGATGTAAGAATTAAAGATTGTGTTCCCCACACTGACCCAGCTAGATAAATACCAAATGGACCGAAATCAATAACAGCCTCCCGGATCTATGAGACAGCATCTAAAGGTATCCGAGCTGGTGTATTAAATTTGTATTTGTCCAATCAATGAGCGTCTAAGTTTATATCCCTTGGCATCTGTCGTTCTCCCCCATCAGGATAATGGTCAAGGGGCGACGATTTGTTTTCAGCGTGAATAACATGTGAAGCCAGTATCACTGTCTGGCGATGAGAAACACGCTGTTTAGTGTGCGCACGAATTCACCATGCCGCAATGGGTTCATAATGCACGCGTCTCTTGTTGGATTTTCGATATTTCAATTCAGTAAAATTATCACTCTCCGAATATTATCTGCAACGCAACCGTTATCCGAATCGGTATATTTCCAAAGGGGCCACTCTGGAATAGGAGCTGACAGACTGTTTATTATGACCTCTAGCCCAGATCTCGCCTCACTTTTGCCTATGCTTATGTTAAGTTAAAACGAAAAGAAAACAGAGGGTCTGGCTTTCCATTTAAAATGGCTGACTCGTGAACAAGGCGAAAAATACTTGCTGGCATATTATGTACTGAAGAACAACACGGTTTATAACAGCGTTTACAAGACTGCTTTAAATTTAATACTTTATTCCAGTAGTGACAATTAACCGACGACCGCTAGGCACCAAGAAATTGCCTGTGCTAAATTTAAACCCAAGGGAAGGTGAAACTGTAAATGGGTTATCAGTTTCTTGGGGGGAGAATTAAATTCTGGTTCCTTTTTCACCCAAAAAATCAGTAAATGTCAACCTTTTTTGGTTAAAAAAGACTAACAATTAATCAATACCTCCAAAATTGGACTGACACAGCCCAATTTTGGGCAGTTGCATTTTTTACCTTCCTCCTGGGTTAAAGTTAACCCAGACTTTTTTTAGTGTATTACCAAGGACTGACGTACATATATTTTACTAACCGATATTAAGCAAAAAATCATTTTGTATTAGCATTATGTTAGTATCTTCATTCAAATTTTAATTTACCCTAGTCGTTAGTTAGCCGATATTTCCAAAGACTTTTACTAATTGGTGCCATCGAATTAAGAGTCTTCGAAACGCAAAGGGTTTTTAATCTTTTGGAGTTCTCGTTTGTAGGCCTAATCAATCTATTTCAAACATTAAGTGTTAAATTTAGATGCGATATATGGCTTGTTTGAGTAGGTGTTGCGTATCTTTCTTTCCACCCAAAATGCTCGTTAATCCCGAAGGGGTAGGAATAATGACACCCTCCCACAAACCCTGTCTTGATTCCAAACAAATTATCATGATATTGTTTTATTAGTTAGATTCAGATGGAGGATAGTTTTCTTGTGATTGCGCGCATGTATACAAGAACTATTCAGTGTTCAAGATTCATTTCTAATATTCTGACCATCTTTTTCAAGTGAACACAAGCTTGGTTTTGTTGTTTCCTGTGCATTTAGTCACTTTCTTGTTTCTCTCTCCTAGAAATTAAATAAAATTGATATGCATATGCAAAATACGAAACAAGAAGCATTATGCCAAAGAATGCCAACGGATGTAATCGTTTTAGCCTGAAAACAGAGTTGAGTTTGATCTTCTTTCCACAAGCCTTTCGCTTTCCCCCTTGAAACGCTACTCTAATAAATGCAAATAAATAAGACCAAGGAAGCATGCTATAGTTACAGGGCCTTATTTGAATGGAAGAATGCTGAAATTGTTTGTCGATTGATTTAACTGAGTTCTTGTCAACCTCTTCCCAAGGCTTCCGGCGAAATTTATTGAATTAGTTCAACGGAATCGAATGAAGTTATGAAGCGGAGCACGGAGTCGAATGACACCTTTTAAATGTTTTAGGATGATACAAAGGAACATTCAATTTAAAACGAATTTGAATGGGCACCACATTACACCTGGACGATTATTGAGATTAAATTGACTGCGAAAACCTTTATTGCAATTGTAGAATGCTTTTTGCTGTTGGCTAAAAAACTGCACAATTTGGTAGGGTATTCACCGAAGGTCTGTTACTCACTGTTGTTGGTTGTCAGTGTTGTGTTCTTTTGCTTTACCTGCTTGAAAAATTGAACTTTACACGCTTGTAATCTATAAAAGTTGCAACACTTGATCCCTGAACCCTGAACAGCAAACTCAGCATCACTTGATGGATATATCAACTACTGAAAAGGTAGCTGTAATCAATATTTTTGAATACACCCCCCAATGCGCCTTTGTGTCTCAGTTTCAACTCTTGTTTTACTATTTCAAAGGGTATTTCATCGCCTTTTTGGTTTTTATGCTAATGAGAATTTCCATATTCATGAGCAAAAGTGTGATGTCAGCTCTGGAAGAAACCTCAGTGTTACTCTAATTTATACACCAAAAAGTACTGCAGTTTGTAGATTTTCCTGTACTCAGTTTTCTCTTCTTTGCTGATTCATTGTTGTTAATATGCGTACCATTAAGAAAGCATCAACCCCCTTCTCAGGAATGCTTTTAGTTAGTTAACTCTTGGTTCACAATTTGAACAGAAGCACCTAGTACCTATGCACAAAACCATGTCTTCCCGGATGACCTCACAGCAACAGCGCCCCCAGTTGTCAGAGAAAGCTTGGATAATTTTAATTGTTTGAAAGCATGTTCTTTTCAATGCATTTAATTCACAGGAAAGTAACAGAATTTTCATACACTGACGAAGAATACAAAGTTGAAAAAAAATGTGTCTATGAAAAATTCATTGCAGCTGTACATCGTGCATCACCACTCACATCACAATGTCAGAGCAGTTTTAAAGATGGCTTCAGTTTGTAAAAGTGTGTACAGTTTGACTGTAGGGTTATCAAGAAGAATGCTTATTTAACTCATCGCGAATGCTCAAATTCTTCCTACTCTCAACTTGTATTTGTTAAAATAATGAAATTAAAATGCTCTTGTGAAGACTGTTACGAAACTGGATGCAAGCTTTTCATAGGATTCGAATATTTATATCACAGTCGCAGAATCGGTAAGACATCGGATAGGAAACAGGAAAGATCAATGGACTGAAGTCCACTCAACCTAAATATGCAAACGCAACTGAAGTCAAGGAGCCCAGTAGTCAGGATTTCATTTTTTGTATCGCATGCGCAATTTGAAACCGAACCAGGGAGGGTTAAGGCTTTCCCATCTATGAATGCTGTAGCATTTCGTATCGGCCGTGCAATTTCGATGGAACTCACACCACTTGTAGCGCGGTTCTTGTTTAATTCATACACGGAGAATGAGAAATATCGCTTGTCGAGAATTCTGAAGCAATCATCAGTCAGTTGCTCTCGTTACAGCAATATATGCAAGTCACAAAATCGACGTTGAAAGGTGCACCTTTTTGTTCGTCTTTCTGATTCAGTCGTTTCGCGAAAGGACAGAGTCACATCTGGCATCATGACGGGACAGCGTAGTCGCGTTGAACTGTGGGACCCGCCAACATATACACAATCCACCCATCCATCAATCAAATTACATGCCGCAAACTGTGTAGAATATATGAATTCAGTGTAGGGATAGCGTGTATTATCAACTGCCCGGGCTTAAAGCCGATGCATCTTTGCTGCAACTGGCGACTACCGATACGCTTCACTCTCTTTATCCAAATTCCTTAAAGCGCGACTCCCGCTGATGGCACACCTTTCAACAGAGCGTCAGTCTTTGATCGACTATGACTTTCATAATTAAAACGACGATCCCGTGGCAGGTTGCCAAATGGAGGACACTGTCTATCCACATAAATTGCATTATTCAGCCATTTTGCGCTCCGCGCAGTATCATCACCCACGTCCCAGTTTGGTGGGTTCAGTGGGCGGGATTTACGGACAGGACAGTCAGTGGCTGACGCGACGGCAAGCATCTGGTAAAATCTGACGGTGCGATGCGGCTCGGTGGTTGGTCCATCAGCTCAGCTAACAAGCCTCCACATCGTGATGGATGTCACCAAAACGCATCTCCATCGGGCTTGATTCGTATCTGAGTCGCGTGGTGCAACCACTGGCGCAAGTTTTAACAGTTGGGTAAACAACCGAGATTCATGCACGTCCAGCAAATGTTGGCTAGTCACAATCACTCTCGTCAAGGGCCGCTCAGAGATCAGACGTACCTCCGAGTTCTTGAGCTCCGATTTGGCCACGCAGTGGCACCTCAAACCCAAGCTGAGAGCTCAACAAGGCAAAAAGAAATTGGGCGTAGACGTAAAGCAACTGGACGGACGATATTGGGTACCGGTGGTTTACATTTGGTGCTTTACTTTACATGTGTTTTCTTCGTTGACAAACTGGCGAGATGGATATGGAGGGTTACGGCTTCTCGGGATTCTGGGAGGGCTATCCCAATGAAACCTTCGATTGGCAAAATTATTCCGATTGGATAAGCTTCTCTAACGGTTTTCCAAACACAAGCAGCTGGCTTGACCTTGAGAACGTGCAATACCACTCATCGGAGGTGATCCTTATTATGTACATTATGCCCATCATTCTGCTAATTGGACTTCTCGGCAACATGGCATTTCTCTTCGTGGTCTTTCGCGTTCGCTGGATGCGGACTGTCGTCAATATCTACCTGATCAACCTGGCCGTGGCAGACATTGTGTTCCTGTCTACGGCCATCGGCGAAAAGCTTGCATTGTTCGTCAGTCGTCCCGACGTCTATGACGAAGCACCTAAAGGCGCCGCCGGCTGCATGTTAATCTCCTTTATGAAGGGCTCCTGTTACTTCACCTCCATCACGCTGGTCACACTCGTCTCCGTGGGGCGATTCTATGCCGTCTGCAGACCACATGATTACAAACTGAACACCAAACGGCGGACCCTGAAACTGATTTTTGGAGCTTGGTTCATCTGTTGTATCATAGCAACGCTGTTGATCCCGTGCAAGGCGACTCTTTTGACAGACGTCTATTTCAAAGACGACCCATTTGCCCCGAATTCGAATCTACAGGATATTCTCAATAATCCTGCCTCCAGGAAGACTTGCCGGCCCATAAGAGACGCTCACTGGGTGGCGTACGCCAGCGACGGAATCCAAGCGTTGCCATTCTTGGTAGCAATGTCCGGCAACATCGTCATCTACGTCTGCATTTTCCGCGCCCTCAACGACCGGGTGTCCAAGACCAGCCGGCACAACTCCCGCGAACGTAAAACTGAGATGAGAGACCGGGTCAGCCGCATGCTGATCGCTAACGGGACTATCTTCTTCCTCTGCCTGGCCCCGTTCGAACTGACATCCCTCTGGGCCATGATCCGCAGGGACAACATCTACTACTACGGTGTCAGCTCCACCAGGCGGACCTGGGCCCAGTTCTGCCGCGTCATGATGTACCTCAACTCAGCCGTCAACCCCATCATCTACAACATCACCAACCCCAGGTACCGCCAGGCGTTCCTGCGAGCCTTCAGAAAGAAGCAGGACCGGCGTCACGAGTCCAAGACTCCGTCCACTGTCCAACTCAGCCACCTGCGCGGCGAGAGTCAAGAAAGCAAGGCCAAGAAGGAAGTATCGCACTCACAGTCACATTCACAGTCACACTGAACTTGGAACACTGGCAAAGATCACATACAGCACATCAACTCTCTTCACTCAAAAGAACTTAAAGTTGTTGAATATAGCTTACCGGTGTACGACTCTAAAGGAAGCTTTCACTATTGACAATGCCAATGGCTAGTATCGCTCAAGCATAAAGGTAATCTGATTTTTCTATTCGTCTCTTGGGCCAACGTACATCGTACATTCAAAGTACACTTGCCCTCTGTCGACGAGATTGTATAACTATACACGAGACCGATGACTTATCAAGACGGACGAACTATGAATACTACGGTTCATTTTCATACGGATCCTCAGTTTTGTGTACACGGTGAGAATCACCGTGTATCAAATTATGTTTGCACTAGATTAAAGACCCGCGTTTTCATGTAAGAACCATGCCTTTACATATGTTTTCCCTTAAGGGGAGAACTTGAAATTAACACCATGAGCAAACAATGATATTATTTCCCCGCATTCAAAAAGTTTGTCCAAGAAAATTACACATCGAAATTAAAACGATAAAGAAAAACACGTACAGGCGGTGATAAAATTATATACGGCTCTGTTGCACTGAAAAAAGCATCTTAGGAATAAATCAAGCAAACTAAACTTATGGAAAGTATGCTCATTTTCGGAATTAAATGATGCGCAAGAAGTCAACGGCCATTCTTTAATGGGAAGACGCCTTTCCATTTGCCATAGTTGGGGTGCGTTGCGTACATGATGTGTTTCACTTTCAAGGACAAAAAATAGCCTCCATCAACATAACATGTGTCTATGAACACACATGTGCGTCAAAATCACCCCAGGAGCAATTTTGGCGCAAGTGTTGACGTGCAGGTTGGAAAGGCACCTTGATGGGTATCATCTCCGACCGTGTGCAACACGCGGCAAGGTTTAGTCCAAAAATAGAACAGGGTAATTCCAGAAACTGGAGTCCAAAATTGTGACATTTTGGTGTCCCTGTTACATCTGACCTGTGTTATTTGAAACGGGAATATCACCAGAATTGATTTCGAACTGTTACTGTTTGTTTGGCAGTTAATTTGCATTAATTCATTACTCTTGGAAATTTGAAAATGTGTTCTGAACTTAAAAAATCATATGTCAGATGTGACAGGGACACAAAAAAATGGACCTGTAATTTCTGGAATCACTCAACAACGTGCACTTTGCAACAATTAAATTATGCATTGTTTGCTTATCTGCACTGAGTTACAAGTTATCCGTTTAGTCATTCAGCGACAGCTGGGGCGAAACCTTTCTACTGCCCCCAAAGCATTGATACTTGATTGATAATTATACCTGTATATACGTTCTTTCATCACTTCGATTTAGCAACACAGGATGTTTTCATCCATGAGAAATTCACCAGATAATTTTTCTCACCTGTACTCCATCGGGCATTGATTTATAATGGAGATGACGCGCCAACGGACACTTCCTTGGTCATTGCTGTAAGTTTTCTCAGATACAAGAATGCTTGAAGTACTATCCCACACGACCGAAAATGAATGTCTTTAACAACTTCCACAATATCAAGGTTTCTCTTAGCGAAATGCACAGGTATATTCAGATTGAACAAAAAGTAAACGTAATTTGATTTTATAAAGGTATTATTTTTTTCTTGGAATATCTCTGAAATTATAATAAAACATCCCGAGGCCAATGTGAAGCTAGGATTTTACTGGGGGGGCACAAAGGGGGCACCTGCATCTTATGGGGGGCACCAGCATGGGGGGCACCAGCATGGGGGGCACCAGCTTTAAGTGGTTTGGTTTTGGGGGGCAAGCTTTTTTCAGTCTTGTTCAATATCCATTCATCCATTTATCTCGTTTTTTAGTGGGGGCACTGGGAATTTGAGGCTGGGCACGTTCCCCCAGCCCCCCCAGTGGCTACGCCCCTGCCAGGAGCTAATTTTATCCTTTCAATTCTGTCTAAGTCGGCTGGGGACCGATGCCATATCATCGATGTGTGGCGCCAGTCAACAGAATATTGCATAGAGCGTCCAAATTGCTGTCATTGCACGGTGCGTCCTTGGCTTTTTCTTCTACAGCAAGTCTTGAATCCCTCTCACTAGCTGTAAATCTGATAAGAAATCCTCGACTCCCGCCTTGTTAAAAATTCAGTGACGCGGCTGTGTTTCACAGTTCCACTGTGAACGTATTTCCTTATGTAACCTTATTTCTTGTGATCGGCTACTGAGAGGCGTTATTAAAGATTAAAACACGGTGAATAACAAAACGAGGATAAAATAAGCACAAATCAGTCTGAATAATTCTCTCTGGTTAAGTCCCTCTGCCGACTAGGATATTGTATTTAACTAAATCCTTCCAGGCAGAAATTAATTCCTTGGAGTGAAAAACGCCAGAAATATAGTCACCCTCTATTCATCTTGTAAATGTTTGATTTCGGAATTACATGGAGTACAGGAAATACATATTAGGTCAGCTACATTGCGAGCTAATGCGCACGGACACAGTCATTAAGGCTGATAAATTTGTTAGTGTGGAGTAATAATGTCAACTTTGGATTAAAAAACAAAATCATCTTCTCTGTGGAAGAAATCCCTTTATTTAGGTCTTAGACTGGCACGCAACTCATTTGCTAAAATACTGTCACGAAGAACGCCATTTTAGGCATCTATTCATTTCCCTTGTAAATCTTTCTATTTTGAGGCATCGCTTGCGTTGTTCTGAACTGAAACGCTTTGTGTTGCTTGACCCTATCGCTATCGCTTTATACACTCTGCATGGTGGCGCTACAAAAATAATGGATATGGAACTATCCTCTCGAGGTAATATTCCATTTTGAGTTGTCGAAGAGAAAAAGGAACACGAAAACAAAGTTTCAAAAAGCTACAGCTACAGATAGTCTCCAACAAAAATCCTAGAAAGGATCGCGATAATGGAATAACAAACAGAAACCGGACACTGTCCGCTGAGATTACACGATGGAGTATTTACAGCAGCCAGAACAAAGAATTTCGCGCGCAAACATTCGGGGGCTTCATTTCTACTTTTCGTGGATGAAACTAAATACCCAGAACCGAATACAGCCAGAGCGTTTTTATCAAAGGGATTACTCAATTCTACTTCGATAATGCCACCGGTGGTTCAGAATTACTGACGGCATTAGACTCAAGAATAACGAAGAAAATCCCCGACTTTATGCGAATTTGCTACCTAAAATCTACGGGCGAGTGAAAAGTGCCGGCAAAGATTCGCTCCTTGATTCTTTATCTAATGTTTTCCCCGTCCGCTTCGACTTTGCTCCTTGAATTACGTATTAGTCTCCTGAGACAGAACTCCCCACGGGATGCTTAAGGGAGACTCTTTGCCGGAGAGGACTCGAGTGGGCTACATTACGCTCTGGCTGAATCTACCAAGCAGGGATTATTTCGCGCAAGTCGACGCCACGTCAGATTTTTCTCGGCTAACATACCACACACCCCGATTCATGCTTATGATTGAACTGTTTTTCTCTTGAATTTTGTTGACTTTGTTACATAGTACAAATGGAATGTTGCCCAAGATAGGCATACGTGCGCTGCGCCAAACCATTCAGCATCGCGTGTAGAAGAAATGATTTTTTTCTCTACAGAAGATACGGAGATTTAAAGAAAAATCTATTCCGAAGGAATTTGTCAGTGCTGTCATTTCTAGAGCTTTGCGGTGTGGCAGAGTTGCAAGGAACTAAGTTTCTGTCACTTTCCTGAGGACTTGGTGCGCAAAGAATGTGCCGTTAGTTTAATTTCCTGCTCACCTTAGACGGCCTTGGAAACATTCATGAAACTATGATTGCTGTCTACGCATTACTAATAGCCACATGGGCAAAAGTGGCCCTGATAATTGCTGGGGGATATGCTTTGGTCAAAACGATGGCCGATGTGAGAAGGGAATGGCATTAGTGTCACTGGTGGTCAATGTTTGAGCCTACGACGGTATGTGGTAGGGAGAACAGGGATAATACGGGAGATTCACAGTAGTGCGCCTCAAAGAGTTTGCAACGCGCTCACCAATCACAATGCTCGAAATCTGTCGACCCAATGCGCGTTTGGAAAGGGTCGGCAGATTTCGCGTACTGTGATTGGTCAATGCGTTGCAAAATCTTGGAGGCGCACTATTGTGAATCACCCGTATTAGTGCAGCATTACAACAAAGATGGCCGTGTCCGAATCAGATTTGGCTGATGACGCATGGGCCAGATGTTGCATGAACCCGTTGGAAATTCATGAAGCCTCTACCTAGCTAGTGGCTTCTACAGGCGTATGCGTGATTTCCAGCGGAACAGCCTGGTAATTTGGATGCGACCTATATGACAATAGGCCTTATTATACAGATTGAATAGCATTGACATCATGTCATAACTGTATGAAAATATGCTGCTGATGTAGTTCACTTTTTCAACTTTGATGTCAATTTCACTCTGAGAGATTATTATCTGACCACAAGTGTAGTCTTGAAACCAGATACAGTCTTAAAAACCGTAGATTTTAAAGTTCTACGTTGTCTATCCCAGAATGGTGACCGATACCGCATAATTTTACACCACTCATCGTGAGTAATAAACACGACCGACACTCCTTTCACCGCGGTCACCCCCACTTTCGTTTTGTCCATCCATCGCCATTTTCTGTCCTGAAAACTACAAAGGCGTAAATTTCCACTGGCTTCCTCAACGTATGTACCTGGTTGCCGACAGTTCTGCGAAATTTGCGCAACAGTTTGCATCTGACAATGCCAACGGCTTTGCAGAACCTATCACTTCTATCGCGTGTAACGCACACGACCGGGCTCGCCAAAGGTCGCCAAGACACCTGCCCAGGAAGAACACGTGCGTGCGAACGACTGAACAGACAAAAGCTGACAAAGACAGACTGGGTGTGCACTGACAAGGACAATATACCCTGCCTGCTCCTGCTAAGTAGCCAGGGCCTTCCATGATTAAGCTGCATTGTAAATTTAGCTCTGGAGAGAATGCATTTCAGAACCTAGGCAGAA